TTGAAATGGAAGAAATACAAAACAACCATCAATCGGCCTCGGTCTGGAGCTCCATGCAAGATCTTGCCTCATGGGGTAAGGATGATCATGAGAAAGGTGAGGGATCAGCCCAGAACTACACGGGAGGAGCTTGTTAATGATCTTAAGGCAGTTGGGACCACAATCACCAAGCAAAACATTGGTAACGCTCTATGCTGCAATGGACTGAAATCCTGCAGCACCCACAAGGTCCCACTGCTCAAGAAGGCACATGTACAGGCCCGTTTAAAGTTTGCCAAAGAATATCTAAATGATTCAGAGAAGGCTTGGGAGAAAGTGCTGTGGTCAGATGAGACCAAAATTGAGCTCTTTGGCATTAACTCGACTCGCCGTGTTGAGGGAGAGAAATGCCGACTATGACACCAAGAACACCATCCCTACATTCAAGCACGGAGGTGGAAACATAATGCTTTGGGGCTGTTTTTCTGCTAAGGGTACAGGACGACTTCACCGCATTGAGGGGCAAATGGACAGGGCCATGTACTGTAAAATCTTGTACGAGAACTTCCTTCCTTCAGCCAGAACACTGAAGATGGGTCATGGATAAGTCTTCAAGGATTACCTTGTAAAAATGTACCTACTTCAAGCAAACCTGGTGACCAACTACAAAAAAACGTCTGACCTCTGTGCTTGCCAACAAGGGTTTCTGCACCAAGTACTAAGTCATGTTTTGCTTGGGGATCAAATACTTACTTCACTCACTGAAATGCAAATCAATTTCTAACCTTATATAAATGTGTTTTTTCTGGATTTTTTGGTTGGTATTCTGTCTCTATACGTTAAAATAAACCTACCATAAAAATTACAGACCCTTCATCTCTTTGTAAGTGGGCAAACTTACAAATGATATTCTGTCTCTATATGTTAAAATAAACCTACCATTAAAAATGACAGACCCTTCATTTTTCTGTAAGTGGGCAAATTTACAAAACCAGCAGGGGATCAAATAAATATTTCCGCCACTGTAAATCTTCTGTTCCAGATTCATACCTTTATTATTATTTATAGTTTGTTTGTTTTTTCTTTAGTCTTATTTAAATGTTCTTTCTGTTCTCATCTGCATGCATGTATGTACCAAGAGCTCCTTAATTAGACAACAAATTCCTTGTTTGTGCACACTTGGTGAATAAAGCTGATTCTGATTCTATATATTAATTGTGTACTGTGTACTTACTACATTTTTTGCAAAAATATATAGAGTTTACTTCAGAATTATTAATGAATTTAAATGAATATAGCTCACATAACACTCACCTCAAGAAGGGCACCAGTCTGAAAGAATTTTAGGGGCTTTTCTATCGAGTAATAAAGACCATGGTAACTTCCCCTGGCAAGGTATGCTCGAACCAGACCAACAGCAATGACCAGCCATCTAGATTTAAAAAAAAAAAAGATTCATAGAGTAAATCTGTAGTGCCACTCGTCCTTGCTTTGAGAGAGGAGGGCATTTCCGCAATGCACACAGGCATGGAACTGCATGCAAATCTCTTACAGCACAGCAGTTAACAGCAAATAGTGGCATATAACAATTTCATTCAAATACATCCAGCACATTTATTGTACATCGACTGAATTGCATCATCAAACTATTCCGGATTGCATTCTGGTCAACAGACGTCGCGAAAATGTAGCAAACCCGGTTTGGTTACTGCTGCTGCAGCAACCGCATTGGGAAGTTCAATTCATTTGAATGAATCAGTTGGTTCGAAAAGTTCGAAAACCGGATTCCTCACTTACATTCGAGTGATTTTAAAACTATTCGGTTCAAAAAAACGATTCGTCATTCCAAGCCCTGAAAAGCAATGTTATAAAATCTTAAAAGTCATGTAAACTTCTGTAGTGATTTTTTTGTAGTCATGCTCGGCTCAAAAACATTAGAGTCGATTACATTTGCTTTGTTTGAGTGCAATAACTTAAAATAAGGACTGAAATCTACAATAACCGGTCAAAACGTCGATTGTTCGTTAGTTCTGGATACTTGAATACTTAGATTTTAATCATTAGCCTATACAAGCGATTTTTAGGAGTACTGGTGGATTTTATTTTTACGGTTGAAATTGGCAGTAAAATAGATTTTAGTAAGTAAATCTTTATTTATATAGCACCTTTTAAAAACAGTGAAAACAAAGTGTTTTAGAAGAGAAATACATGTGTGCATTCACAGAGAGCAAAAAAACCTCATATTTCACTTGAATATTTTACTGTACTCAAATATAGCTATTTATCACTATTTTTCCCAAATGTTGTGTTTATTGTTTCTACATCCCATCTCAAAACGAATTAAGAAACGAATAGGTTATACTGAATCGATTCGTTTCCGAAACGGACATAATTGTGCAACAGTTTCGGGGTTACAATGGTTAAAGTGCACTTCTATTCACTGTTTAACCACACCACCTACTGCCTATTGAACTGTATATTGCTACATTTAAACTAACGAATACAATAAATTCATTCGTACGTCCATTAATGTAATCTAACTGCACAAACAGACCCGCTACTGTAAAATAAGAACAATGCATTCATGCATGCAACCAATGACCGCTGTCAACCAGCCGCCCTGAAGAGTCTATGGCGTGTTAAATAGGCGTTAATAGGATTTACGTTGCAATGCATTACCAGAGTATTCAGAATAATGTCCATTTATTGTAATTTCAAAACAAACTGTGCTAAATCATGCAATTTAAACTCAAAGGGGGAGGTAACCGCGAATCTGTCAAGCACTTTGAGCACGCTGTCTGAAATCTAACCGTTCATTCTTACTGTCACACGCTTGAACAGAGAGCACGGAAGCGCATTTGATTTTCATCATACCCCGCTGTCATAACCACGTTGTAAATGACCAGATATGCGGTGGCCAGCGTTCCAGGTCCCTTTTTCTTCTTGTTACTGGAATCACTGTGCGCTGTTTTGCTGGTCCCCATGGCAGGTGCCGACATGACTGAACTAGCATTAGAAACACTGGATCATCCAAATGGTCCCGGTGAGTGAATAAAGGCGTGTGGCCTTGCTGACATGTATATAGAAGGCGCTTATGAATGGAGCGCCCCCTGGCGAGGACAGGGTGTAAATTATGTTTTGTGTGTCACTCTGTTACAGTTTCGATTCGCTTATTCACAGACATGTTTACCAATAAAATAAAATAAAATATTTTTATTAATAATAAATATAATATTATTAAATTGTAATATTTGTGCTGAATTTTGGGTTATAGGAACTTCAGAAACATATATTCCAATCGCTAGATGGCAGTGCGGGTCTCCTGCTCAGCTCAGAACGCACACTAAGGTCTCAACTTACATGCCTGTCGGAAATATAGATTTATAAAAACACATAATGAAATAATTTAATAATTTATTTTTGTAGTCTTAATAGAAATACTAAATACAACTTGAAATCTAGAATCATTTGACTGTTGTGACACGTATGCGGTTTCTGACAGGCATTGCGGTTGCGTTCTAAGTTTACGGAAGAGCAACTAGTAGAAGTGGACGCATTTTAATGGATGAGAGAACGATAAATCGTCGATATACGTAGATAATACGCTTGAATTTAACATTTAATAGATAGGAAAAGGTCGCAAAATGCCTTTATTTGGTCAAAACCCGTTCGATCAGGATGTGGGTGAGTTTGACAGTGTTGTTTTTGTCGAAGTGATGTTATATTGACAAGTCAGTTAACAGGGCCGATCCAGCGCACTGCTCCCTGTTATATCCTCAAGATCTTTGCTTTTTGTTTTGTTTATTTCCTCTGTTTCTCTGATCCCTTAAATATCGGGATTTAACTATTAAAGCTGTCAAACGTAATTAGCAGAACTGACACCATTCTTAAAATATTGTTCTAAATTTCTGTAACTTTTCAGATGAACACTGAACATTTTCAATATTTAGTTTAAGTACGCTGTCAAAAAGTTATTTTGAGTTGTTTGGGGATTAAGTACAAAGTTTATCATGCTGAAAAATGTAAAATGCTGAAATGTTTATTATTACAATAAATAACGTTTTTTTAACTTGAAGATATTTCCTGTATAGGCTATGCCGTGATATTTGAATATGAAAAAGTACATCTAACAGGATGCAGTATAGTACCTTCCTAATATAATATTATATAATCAAAACGTTCTG